TTGCAAAAGAATGCAACAACTTTAATAATTGACACCTATTAAATTGGAGTTTTTATAGGTTATGATGATTTGCCTTTATATTGATTTTTGTTCTTTGATAAAATTGTAGTCATAATCAAATAAAAATTTTGTCATTTCCCCTAAAAAATATATCAAGGAGACCCCTCACAAATAAAAATTTTGTCATTTCCCCTCAAAAATATATCAAGGAGACCCCTCACAAAAACTAGGGTCAAACATGCATGTGACAAGTGCTTACTATTAATTTGCCACACAATCATACACAATTTGGGCCATAATAAAGAGATTTATATGATCTTCATCTTTAAGATGATTATTAATCTAAAAAATCATACAATATTCTTTTTTTTTTTTTGGTACAGGACCTTCCAGTTTCTGAATCCACAGAGGAACCGACTAATCCGGAATCGAGCCGAGTAGGACCACAAGGGCGGCAAAACTCTCCCTCAAGAGCTTTTTAACACTGCTGCATTCCCAAGGCTCGAACACGAGACCACTGGTTAAGCTGAAAGAGACTCAAGCCATCTCATCCAAGCGCTCTTGGGTATTAATACAATATTCTCACATATTGCATGTTATTTTATTACACACACACAAAAAAAAAAATAATAATAAACAAAAAATCACACCAAATAATCTCTTGCCCTAAATTAAGTTCATCTGTCCCCAATTTTCTAATAGTTTATTATTCATCTTAGTGAAAGTTGAAATCTGCCTAGGGAAAAATTAATTAAATAAAAGAATTATAGAAAGTTAGTGCCAATCCTTTTCATTTGAAAATGATAGTAACAGTGGCCTGAAAACTTTAACCATAATTAAAAAAAAAATAAAAAAAAATGAAGAAGATTTTATTTTCCAACTAATTTTGGCATAGCACATACATTCATAATAAGGCAAAAGGGTACCCATTTGGCAACAAATTTAAAGAAGCTCTAATTTCAGGTTGGCCAGAGTGTTGTGTTTTTCTGGACACATGACATGATCAGAGCAATGGACTCACCCTATATTAATGTTTTCATGTCCCTTAAATGATACTCTCATTTATTACCAATATTCAAATTTATTTTACTTTCATTTTCATTTTATTTTTTTCAAAATCTTGATATATGTGGCATTATTAAAATCGTTCGGTTTGGTCACGTCTTAATTCGGGTTTTATCGGCGATTAAACCTAAACCAGCACGGAGTTTGATTAAAATTTCTTGAATATTTTCTTGTGAGTTAGATGATGTATGGTTTATTATTCCTTGATTATTGTATGGAAACATATGTCTTATTGAGAAAGTTATTTATCGATATAAATAAAGGATTTCAAGTTCGCTTTCTAACGTAATCTTTTCTTCATTACAAAAATATTGGCAATTCGGGTCTCTCAAGCTCTTACACAACCTGGTTTGTGATTCGAGACGTTTGAGCTGAGACGACGATTCAATTGAAAATCTTGACGAACAGATAATTCCGCGCACATCCTAACCAACAAAAAAAATAAATAAATAAATAAAAATAAACAGGGGCAGTTTTGTCTCAGAAAATTAACCAAAAAAATACCACCTCTGTTTTTTCTTAAAAAACAAAAAATACAAAATAATAATAATTAATAATACTAAAATAAATAAATAAATAAATTCCTCAGCTCAGCTCAAACTTCTTCAAATTAGTTGACCTTAAAAGTTTTTTTTTTTATAAGGTTGCTTATTACCATACTCTGCCTGCTTCTTTAAACCCATCCTCAATTCCTCATCCCCTTCTTCTCCTTTTTTTCTTTCTCTTCCATAATATCAGACAAAAGCCTCTACTTTTTTTTTCTCTCTTTCTCTGTATAAAAACAAACACAATCCACCCAGACACAACAATATTCTCCAAAAAAAAAAACAAAAAAAATATTATTATTATTATTATTATTATTATTATTATTTTTATTATTATTATTATTATTATTATTCAACAACATGGAAAACAATTACAATCTGCTGCATATGTTTTGGTCCCTATTGATCTCATATATTGTAGTGGCTTTTGTTCTAAAAATTGTGATTCACATCTGGTGGGCACCAAGGAGAACTGAACAACACTTCTTAAGGCAAGGGATCAAAGGCCCTAAATATGAGCTTCTATTGGGCAACTTAAAAGAGCTTGCTACCTTGAATTTGAGGGCCTCAACACAACCCATCACTCTCTCTCACAATATCCTCCCAAGGGTCCTCTCATTTTATCATCATTGGAAGAAAATTTATGGTATATGTGCAATTTCTTTTTTAACTATCCTAACGGTTACATGATGATCTAACGATTACAAACTTCGACGGAATGGTTCAGTAACGGGACTGCAGCATTTCTCAAAAATATATTCAAATTGTTGGTTTTGATGATGATGCAGGTTCAATGTTCCTGATTTGGTTCGGGCCGACGGCCCGGCTCACGGTGTCCGACCCAGCCCACATCAGAGAGATTTTCATCCTCAAATCAGAGCTTTTTGAGAAGAATGAATCACCCCCACTTGTGAGGAGAATTGAAGGGGATGGCTTGTTGAGCCTCAAGGGACAAAAATGGGCTCACCACAGAAAGATCATTCAACCAACTTTCCACACAGAAAATCTCAAGGTGGGTACCCCTCTCTTTTCTTTTTATTATTATTATTATTATTATTATTATTATTATTATTGTTATTATTATTATTATTACAATACAATCATTTTGTTAATATATATTTTGTCAATTTTGGACTCGAACAATTAAATATATATAGCTGATGATACCCATGATGGCCGAAAGCATGGAGTCGGCACTTTCGAAATGGTCCGAGAAAATGTCGGCTGCCGGCAAAGTCGAAATCGAGGTTTCGAATTGGTTCGAGAACCTCGTCGAGGATGTAATCACGAGAGCCACTTTCGGGAGCAGCTACGAAGACGGTCGAGCCATCTTCGAGCTACAGTCCCAACAAATGGTCCATGCCACCGAAGCTTATCAGAAATTGTTCTTCCCCGGCTACAGGTATGTATATATTATATATACATAAATTATAGTATATCCTTGTAATTAATGTTAATTTTTTTTTTTTTTTAATTAACGTTGTTGTTTAACGAATTTTAAGGTTTCTGCCGACGAGGAAGAACAGAATGTCTTGGACAGTGGGAAGACAGATTCGAAAATCGCTGCTAAAGCTAATCGAGTCGAGACGGGCGGCGGCGAGTCGAAGAAAATCGTCGACGGACGAATGTGCTAACGATTTATTGGAACTGATGATCAAAGCGAGCCTCAACGTCAACGGCTCGGATGAAAGATCGTTAATCACGGCAAACGATGTTGTGGAGGAGTGTAAGACCATATTCTTCGCCGGAAAGCACACGACTTCAAATCTGCTGACATGGACTACGGTGTTGCTGGCCATGCACCCACAGTGGCAGGAGGAGGCACGTGAGGAGGTACTGAGAGTGTGTGGGGCACGTGACATCCCAACTAAAGATGATCTTCCCAAACTCAAAATGGTATGGTACAATTTTATTTTATTCATCTCATTATCATTCGGTCGGGTGTTTTAATCATTGGATCATCTATCTTATCTAACTATACGTAGATCCGACAGTTAAAACACCCGACGTGATGGTACTGTAATGAAATGAAACAGTAGCATTTCCCTAAATTTCGTTTACTTTATTTATTTATTGTTATTGGTGAGGGATGGTGGTCCCCTCGAATAAATTAAGCAAAGAGAATTGAAATATTAATATTGAAATGAAAATTAATTAAATTGGAAAAGGAAAGTGAAGGGGAAATATCAGTCTCGAAAATAGTTCCTAAAAATTGGAAGAACAAAAAACTTTAGCATGTGTTAGATGCGCAAAAATAGGGGGGGTCTTATCTTCTGGAGTGGTGTTTCTAGGTGACATAATTAAATGTTGCACAAATTTTTCAATCATAGAATGTCTAACAATTAATTGGCATATTATTATTATATTATTATTATTTATTATTATTATTATGATGATTATTATGTATTTATTTATTTTTTGTTGGTTCTTTCATAGAAATAATAATTTTGAAGTAGCATGAAATTAAAATTTAATTTCCCCTTGTTAAAAAATGGATGCAAATTAATTTGTATGTAATTTTCAGTACAGAGCTTACTTATCCTATATACTGAAATTTGTATAGGCCACTGCATAGCTAGCTATAAAAATAGTAAAATGTAATTATATATATATATAAAAAAAATCCTATCTTGATCCTATATGTGAGGACAAAATGTGGGAGAACTTGTAGTAGCCTGCAATTAAATACTACTCAATAATTGATCTAAAACTAGACATATAAAACTAGTGTGACACTATCATTATTATTAGTATTATAATATTGTTATTATTATTGTTGTTATTATTATTATTATTATTTTGCTGCCAAAATGTACCAACACCACACTAAAATACAAGTATATAAAATCATTTAATTTTGATGCCAATCATATAATTTAACTTTTTGTTTATCTACTAGTACTTATTTACTTTTTTTGTTAAAAAAAATGCAGCTTGGAATGATTCTCAACGAGTCCCTAAGGTTGTACCCGCCGGCCGTGGCTGTAATCCGGCGTGCCAAGGTGGACGTACAGCTGGCTGGCGGGCCGCACATCCCGCGTGGCACCGAGCTCTTGGTCCCGATCTTGGCTGTCCACCACGACCCGGCCTTGTGGTGCCACGACCCGCACGAGTTCAACCCGGCCAGGTTTTCCAAGGGGGTGGCCCACGCAGCCAAGCACCCGATGGCCTTCATGCCGTTCGGCATGGGGGCCCGCAGGTGCGTGGGCCAGAACCTGGCCATTCTGCAGGCCAGGCTGGCGGTGGCCATGATACTCCAGCGATTCTCGTTCGAGCTGGCCCCGACCTATCAACACGCGCCATCTGTGCTCATGCTTCTGCACCCGAAGCACGGTGCGCCGATCGTGTTTAGGAAGTTATAGAAGAGCGGGTTGTAAGTGAAGGGCTATAAAATTGGATGTGAAAAATTTTTTAAAAGAAAAAAAAAGGAGGGAAATTGGGTTTTGTGGTATATTATGTGGGTAAAAAAATGGTGTTTTTTTTGGTTAATTAGGTTTGTGTTTAAGCCACATAAAAAGAATCTTTGGTTCTTAACTCTTATTTTCTAACTTAGGAATTTGTCTAACACGCTTACTCGTTAGAATGCATGCTTTGTTGTGTATGCTTTCACGCGTCATGTGGACTTCAGTGATTACTATTATGTGAACTGATCTCAATGTATTTCATCGAACACAACATTGTTAGTTTGATTCTCGAGCAACACGTCGTCCCCGCATCGTAATATCTTCAACTCTTTTCTGTTAGTTATTAATGAAATAGCAATATAACTGTTCATGACTAAAAAATCGATTTTTTAAAAATAAAATATATATTTGATTCCAAACGTGTATATACATATCCGATTTGATTTGATTTTAATTCCAAACAACAAGAAGAATATATCAGCAAATCCGGACATTATGTTTTTAATAGTGTATATTTGAACATATATCCGATTTGATCTGATTTTAATCTCAAACAACAAATAAATATATTAGCAAAATTTTAACAGTTAGTTTTCAAATGAACGCAACTAATGCATGCATTTAAAAAAAAAAAATCCAAATAATATAATACACGCATTAATGCATTCATTTAAAATATTTCAGAAAGGTATTCATTTATTATGGCCCCGTTTGGAAGATAGTGAATTGAGGATAAATTAGTGAATTGAACTTAATTGAGAGGTTTGACCCGTCAAATCCGCTATTGAGCTTGTTTGGTAAATAGCTTATTTGATAAACTTTTTAGGCCCAAAACTCTAATTTAGAAAAAACTCATTAGAGGAGCTTTTTGGGGATCAGAAATTCTATGGCACCACATGTGGCACCATATTATGGTACTACAACATGATGTGACACATTATGATTGGTGCCACAACTATCACACATCATGTTGTGCATGGCACGAATCATAATGTGCCACTCATGTTGTGGCACCATAATATGGTGCCACATGTGGTGCCATAGAATTTCTGTTTTGGGGATAGAGGATTCACAATCTACAATTTTAATTTATAACTTTTTAATTTGTATTATTTATTTTACAATCTACATTGGTTTATGATGCTAACAAATAATAATATGTCATCCATATGATTAATTTATCTAGAAAAATGTAAAATTCATAACTTCTTAATCAAGTGTTAGTAAATTTAAAAACAATATATATATATATTTATAAATTACCAACTAAAAAATATTAAATGTTTTAATATAATATTATTAAAAGAATACACCCTAAATAATAAAATGTCTTTATTGGTAATTTGCAATGTCAAACAGCTATAAGCTTTCAGCTATTTACCAAACACTTATTTAAAAACCACTAATGCAATCCGCTAGTCAAATCAGCTAATATAATCCGTTATCCGCTATCCGCTAATACAATCTGCTATCCGCTATCCGCTGATCGCCAAACAAAGCCTATATATTGACCTTTTTTAGCTACTATATATTTTTAGTAAATTTTTATTCACATTATTTATATACACATATATACATTTTTATATTAATACAAAATTAAGGTTCTCTCGTTAAATCGTTCGAGCAATAGGTTCCATGGTTCACTGGCCTGACTACTTATTGGACCATTATGTAATTAAGTAATACTTGAATTACATTAGTATTGCAAAACAATAAATTTTATATGTAAAATCATTATTATTCAAATATTTAGATAATTTTAAATATTCAAATACTTAAATTAATTGATATAAGAAAAAAAAAAAATCCGACCGACCAATTTTAACGTCAGTTTCTAATGATCACGATCGATTGTTGACCCATTTGCCGGTGGAAATCAATTTGTTCAAATGGTTATGTTCGACATGTTTTTCAAAACTTTTGAAAACAACTCACAACATTTTGAAAAAAAAAAAAAAAAACTCACAACATTTTGAATCATATTCCGTCATATTTTAATGATATAGAGTGAGTAGGTCATTATATACTTATTAAGTCGCTTAATTATTTTAATAATTCTTATGTCTAACTTTTTGTACAAGAAAGGAGACTATACAAAGCCTAGACTAGAATCGATCGAGAATAAGATACCCTAACTTGATCATGATGCAACCTCCCGGGCCTTTAGCCGCTAACAACACCAGATAGTCTGCCACAAAAATTAATTCGCGGTATCAATTGGCAATAGACACCATCCATCGACGAGCCAAAAGCTCCTTTATCCCCAATAGCCTATACTTTTTTTAATTACTTTGTGCTTGCGAGCGCGTGTTTCGTACCTGCACGTAATTGTTAAAAAAAAAAAACAAAAATATTATAGCTGTCAAGTTTATCACTTGAAGTACTGTAGAATTAAATTATTCTTGGATCTGTTGAGAGCATGAATTAATAATAAAGAATGTTTAATTACAGCTAAATGTTGTAAGTATATAATATAACTTAATGTAATTCTTAAACTGAGATCTTTCACATTAAAATAGTTGATTATGTCATGTTATGTGTCCATAATTATTAATTCACACAAAACAATGATGATGAATGTGTATAAATCAAATAGAAACTATAAGTGATGAGAATTAATTAATTACATAACCCTGATCATTTACTGACAAAATAATATACAATTGGACTAAATTTAAGTTATTATACTCGTTTCGTATTGCATGCCCCAAGTGTGTAATACAGTCTCGTTATGGAACCATTTCGTCGGGGTTTATAACCGTTAGATCAACTATCCTCGACGGTTACATGATGATCTAACGATTACAAATCTCGATATAACGATTCCGTAACGTGATCGTAACATTTCCCAATATGGACACGTCAATAATGCTAAAGGATAATTACGGCCTTTTTTTAGTGAATGAACCTCATGATTCACAAAAACAAATATTTAAGAATTTTTTCAATCATTCAAAAATAAATTAAATAAATAAATAAATAAACTCGAAATATTCTAATTATTGGAGTATTTTTTTGGTATGCAATTATTGTTTCATGTCTCATAATTTGGAGCACAGTATAGAACTCGATTAATATAAATAAGGAGATGAGCATAGATATATATAATATTGAAGCAATAATTGATCAATAATATGGAAACAATATATAAAATTACCGTTAGTATCAAATCAAATAAATGCTCATCAATTGAGTTACAAAAAATATGAGCGGTTTACTGAAATTAATTAAAGTCAACTGTACCTTGTGCTATTTTATTCTAAACTAATATTTAAATAAATGTGGTTTTTAATTAATGATTTGTGAGAACCTGTAACTCTTGGCTAAGACCTTCAATTTGGCTACCTTACAAACTGAGGTTATTGGACATAGATATCGGGCTCCACATGATAATTCTTATGGGCCAGGGTATTTAAATTCTCCACTGTATGAAGTTATACGTGTTTGGGCCAATATGATCAAATTTTGGGCTCCGCAAATGGACTGATCAATTGAAAGTTCGATTGGAAGTCCAAGGTCCAACGAAACATAAGATTTGTAAAGCTTGAAGCTCAAGATAAATTTGGGAAATTTTCTTTGTTATTTCATCAAAATCAAAGTTACAGAAAATGAAGACGATGCTCAACTTATATGGTTGAGCTTAAGTCCCATAATGACCAATGCAGAACTGACACGTCTCCTAATTAGAGGTTAAGCTAAAAAAGGAAAACAACAAAGAAAAGAAACGTGCCTTTACAAGTAAGAGGCGACTTTCACTTAAAAGAAAAAAAACAACCCTAAGATAAATGCACACATGCATATACGATCACAGTGTGCTTCACCAATGAACCAATATTTCATTCCCAACACCCCCCCTCAAGTGGGAATGTGGCTTAAATCCACCATGTTGGAATTAACCTTATGCGAAAACCATCGCTTTATCCCAGGAGCATTCATATCAAATAATCGAGAATCAAACTAGATAGCGGAAGCGTACCTTAGGTAGATTTCTAGATTTGATCACCATGGAACATGACTTGGATCACAAACACATCATCAATCACGAACGGTGTTGGTTTTATGGTCTTCCTCAACTAAATCGCCTTATTCCTCATATGGGACTGTCGTTCTCGATTCCGATGGGGAGAAGAGAGAACTATGTTTGATTTAGTATTGAGGACCATAACCAAGAGGGTCTATATATACTAATAGGGTAGGCCACCCATTATCACCTTACCCTAGTAATATTAGGTATCCACTCATTAAGTCCATATCAATTTATGTAGCCCATGAACTCTACTTAATTTAGATCACTTAATTGAGTCCAATAATTAATTGAATAGCTAATATAATATAATTGTATATAATATGTTGCCCATACTTAGATTATACATAGGAAATAAAATATTTCCTAACACACCATTCCCAACTTGAGCAAGAAAAACCTGAAATCAGCACCTCCCAAAGGCTTGGTAAAAATGTCTGCCGGTTGAAGAGAAGAAGAAATGTGCTGAGGCAAGATGAGTCCTTCCTTGAATTTGTTCCTCACCACATGACAGTCAATATCTAGGTGTTTAGTCCTTTCATGGAAGACTGGATTAGCAGTAATATGGAGAGCTGCTTTGTTATCACACCATAAAGGAACTGGAAGTGAAGCTTGAAAGCTGAGATCCTTAGCTAGCCCAATAATCCATTGGAGTTCACACACTGTAGTGGCCATGGCCCTATATTCAGCCTCTGCAGAGGACTTGGACACTGTCTTCTGTTTCTTAGTTTTCCATGAGATTAAGGCATCCCCCAGAAAAATGCAATATCCAGTAATAGACTTCCTAGTGAGTGCACAAGTTCCCCAGTCAGCATCACAAAAAACTTGAAAAGAGTGACTCACTTGTCTTGGAAAATATAATCCCAATGTGCAGCTTCCTTTCAAATACCTCACCAAATGTATAGCTACAGACCAGTGACTCTCCAAGGGTTCC